AATGTCAGCTCGAAACCCAATCCAAAAATACTTTTTCACGACTAATGCAATCGTGCATTTTGTGGCGAAATGGCCGGTGACCGCTGTCGAGTGCGCTTCACGAATAATACGACTACGAAATGTGAGAGGAACAATCAACTGGCTAGCATTATTCTGAAGTCTTCGATAAACCAACCCATTGTCTACAAAATGTTTACCTTTTTCGGTCCAGAGAGCGCATGCGCCTGTACGAGTCGGTTACTTATTGCGGTTGTGGCTTCGTAATCGGTTTTTGGTTTCTTTACGATCTCGATCATTATCAGTAGCTTCTTGCCATTCCCTGCATGCCTCATCACTGCCTAGAAAATGGAGCGAGTTAATCGTGGGCGACGCTTCATCGACTGGATATCTGGAAAGACCATCTGCGTTTCCGTGTTGTGGCCCGGGCGATGTATCCACGCAAAATCATACTCTGACAAATGTTCGATCCAACGGGCAACTTGTCCCCTTGGATTTTTGAAAGTAATTTGTCATTTCAACGCTAGGTGATCTCAACGAATCTGAAATTGCGCATACAAAATAACGTCCGGCCACAATATTTGCTGGCTCCTGTATCTGTCCGATACCGTCCCGTACAAACAGCTGGCCACAATATTCGTCGTATTCTGTATACGACTCCCTGGTGTAGAGGGCGATTTGGAAAGAAATAAGGAGAGTCGAGAAGGAAATGAATTTAGAATGGATGTTAGTTGCCGAATAGATGATAGGATGCGTCAGCAAAACAGATTTTGGAAGAGAGATCCTGTCGTCTCCAAAATAAGCGTGAACGAGCGATTCAGCGCCGGTCAACGGAAACATCGGAAGAGAGATCCCGTCGACCCCAGAACGCCCGTGATCCGCAGAGTCCGCGCCGGTCCCAGGAAACGTCAGGACAGACATCCCGTCGAGTCCAGAACGCCCGTGATCGGCATAGCCAGCGCCGGTCCCAGGAAACGTCAGGACAGACATCCCGTCGACTCCAAAACGGCCGTGATCGGCAGAGATAGCGCCGGTCCCAGGAAACGTCAGGACAGACATCCCGTCGACGCGCAGAAAAACTAAATCTGCAGCCTCTTTTGGCGTCAGACAGGATACGTATTTTAGGAGACTGTAAAGTTATGTAATGTGCTCCACAGGCCACTATGCATTCGGCCGTCCTCATTGGCTCAACAGGTCAATGTATTACTACGAAAAGGCCAGCAAATCCGATTACTGTATTAAAATCAACTAATTTTCGCTCTAATTCGCTCGAGATTGACCAACGGCGTTGGGAGTTCCTTGGTCACGTACTGAGAATGCAGAAGAGCTCTCCCCCATAGCGCGTGTTAGAGTTTTCAGCCACCGCGAGCCTGCGCGGTTGACTGGACCGACCCAGGACAACTCTCCTCTCAGCTCTTTCTCAGGACTGCCTAGCCCAACTCGGCATTCGCCTGGGCACGCTTAGAGGCCTTAATCAGCTGCGGCAGTTGGCAGGGGATAAGTCACGGTGGAATGGCACCCCGCGGCACTCATCTTCCTCTGCCGAGCTGCGTCCTTGACTTATCCCCTGCAGGGTGAACATCGTGCATGAACAGTCTACCGTCTTTCTGACATTGCCACTCGAACTTGACAATAGAAGCTGCATTTCGTATGTTCAGTTACATTGAGCCATGGTGTTTTTGTCTTATGTTTGTGAATCCTTCCCGGAAGCAAATGCTGGTTTTTATGCATTCATGTAATTACTCAGCGTTATTTGCAATAATAATAATAATTTGAAACTCGGGTATTGAGCCAATAATAAAAGTAGATTGGAAAAGGACATATGGAAACGAGTTAAGAGTAACTCTCCACCACACTAACTAGATACTATATACAGTCAGAAAGTGCAACAACTTCCCCTCTTTGGTCTTTCCATAACCTTGAACCTTCCAAGTTGGAAGGCTGTCGGTTAGCGCTACGGAGATGTGTTGAAGCTAGGTGTCAGGACGTCGAATGCCTCAGTACTCTGTCAGTTATGTGCCTAGTTGTTGCACTTTCTGACTGTATATAGTATCTAGTTACAGTGGTGGAGAGTTACTCTTAACTCGTTTCCATATGTCCTTTTCCATTCTAATAGTAATAATAAAGTTGATTGTTCCAACTAGGAACACACGCTTCTTGCCGAACTTGACACTTGACTGACTCACGACTGCCATACGGAGCACACGAGGAGCACGTCGCACCTTCCACTCGGCAAACCTGCAAGAAAGCACCACTACCTGCTCAATACACAGTGTTTTGGGGAATTCACCCCTCATCAGTTGAGCTTGAGTAGGCTGAGGAAGATTGTGCCTGAAAAGCACCACTTATATACCGCTCTCCAGGCCAAACCATCACCAGGGGTACAAACTTACAGAGACGCTTTGTTTCCAGCGCGACAAACACCTCGTGAAGCTCCAGGTAGCAGAGTGAGTCAGAGTCGCTCATGGAGTTGTGCTAAACAAACGTTGAGAGCCAGTATAGCTATTCGCAACGCTGTCACCTCCAACAACTAGTCGCACGTCCGCGTGAGGTTCATAATAATAATAATAATAATTTTCGCTGGCGATTTAATTTCGCTGATTTCGTCGCTTGGTACCAACCGGCCAAAGTAAATCGCCGGCCAAAGTGTCATAGAGGCTTTTTGAAAACCCCAATCGGCCAAAGTTTAATACAGAGCAAGGAATCCTCACTGCATGGCTGACATCGTACCTGTCTAACCGAAGCATACAGTGTGTTGTCGGTGTTGCAACCTCCCGTCCAGACCCCATCAAGGCGGGAGTCCCACAAGGCAGCATCTTGGGGCCAACCATGTTTCTCATATACATTAATGACGTATCAACATGCCCTGCTGGGAACACGCACCTGGAAGCCTATGCTGACGATACAACATTGTGCACTCTTCTCCGTAACGACCTCCCCACTGCTGCTGCCTTGCTTCAGGACACCGTCAATTGTCTGTCAGACTGGGGCAAGGAATAGCGTGTAGCGTTTGAGCCGTCGAAATCCCAGGCTATGACAGTCACGCTGCAAAGAGCGCAACTAGCCTTGCCCTTTCTCCTCTTTGGAGGCAACCCTGTGCCAGAGTCATCCACAATCAAGCTCTTGGGGGTGACTTTTGATCCGACGCTGTCCTTCACGGAGCACATCCGTGCAGTGTCTATACGTGGCAAACAGCGCTTGGGCCTCCTGCGGCGAGCTGCGCCCTATCTCTCCCGAGAAGGCCGCCTCAAGGTGTACAAGGGGTTTGTACGGCCCGTTTTGGAGTATGCTCCTCTCGTCTGGATGGGAGCTGCTCCCTCCCATCTTGCACGCCTAGATAGCATCCAACGCCGTACATTGCGCATCATTGGTCCCGGGAAGGAGTTCCAGAGCCTCAGCCTACGGCGATACGTTGCTGCATTAACATACACTTACAAACTGCATTTCATCACAGGTCCGACTCAATTGCTAGCAGTCCTCCCACCAAGGCTTGAGCCCCGTGACGCCACTCCCACTCGAAACGATCTCCGCATGGCCGCCGGCCACAGTTACCAGCTACGAAATCTGCTACCGCATCAAGCACCAGACACCATTCTCCGCAGCTTCCCACATTGTGCAATCCAGCTGTGGAATTCCCTGCCGCCAGCTTTTCTAGACTCGCCCCAACTCGCAAAAATGTTCAAAAGTTTAAGTGCAACGTCAACGAATACCTCCGCCGACAGCATTGGCGATGGTCCCATTGCTACGATTGCGCTGCACACTAGTACTAGCTGTTGCTTGCCCTTGCTTTCTTTTTATTTTTGCTGACCCTTACAGCTCTATCTTTTGTTTTTGGTGCCTGTTTCTGGCCGTGATGCTGAGACCTCAGGTCGGCAGAGCCATCAATATCCCACCATCACTGCTGCACCTCGGTGCAGCCCCTTCTGAGTAGTTGTCACGTTTGTCCTTGTCTCAGTACCATTGTCTTCTGTATTATTTATGAGTTGGGTATGTGAACATAGTTCACGTTCACGTTCACGTTCACGGTCGCTCTCCAAGGAAAGTCGAGCTCAGTGACGGAATTCGCGTTATGAGAAGGATTAGCAAACAGAATTCGCACATGCATGACGTTGACACGATGTCCATTGTGTACAGACTACAGCGTGGTAAGTTTATGACCGCCTGACACGAATCCGCGATTCGTGTTCCGACTACTTTTCCGAACGAAAAATGCGAAAGTTCGCAATCCAGTTCGCGAACTGAAAAATGTTTGCGAACGCGAACGTGAATTTCGTCTTGCTAATCCTCCGTAATGACGGTGAAACGTTTCGTTTCTCATCTGCCAAAGTTTCTCATCGGCCAAAATTTGTTTATTTGCAGTAAAAAGAGTTAAAAAGAAAAGAAGGAGCAAACCAAAAGTGGATGAAATTAGAGAAATAACAATCCGCAATAAATTCTGCAAATACTTTTGCCTAACTCATATTCAAACTGATTGAATCGTTTTAGCAATACAATGATGTGGCCAATCAGCGGAAAAAAAACATATCCATCAGTTCTAATAACATGTGCGATGAGCTAGGCAAAAAAGCATAAAAGCATAGTGTAGGGCCCTGAGCTTCCAAGCTCTCTCGTTTCGCAAGGCCAAACGGGCAATGGTGCCCAATTCTATGGAAGCAAATACTCTGCAGAAGCTCCGGACCTAGGTTCCACACAATGAAAACATCATCAATATCGCGCTTGTACAGGACTGGGCTAGCAGGTGCACTACTCAAGAGCGAAATCTCTAGGTCATGCATATACAAGATGGCAAGGGGGGTTTACGGTGCGGAAGGATGTCCCACCAGCCCTTCACCTTAGTCATCTTATTTACAACTTTGAATGCCGACAATGCGCTAGTCGGTATGTTGGTCGGACTGTTCAGTACCTGAACGCACGCATCAAATAACACACACCACGTCACATACTTTCACCTTGCGCACAACAACAAAGACCGAAGCGAGGGTGACCTAGAAAACAACCGTTATCTACACAACTTGCGGATCAGGGCTCACAGACTGTGCTTGCTCCGCCGTCGCTGGTGGCGGTGGTGGGGGAGAGTAGGCGTGGTGGCTCATCGGGCCGGTTTGTGTCGCCACCTTTGCTCCTGCCGTCGGTGGTTCCTTCGTCAGTGCCCCCGGCAGCTTTGGCTGGGGTGGGGCGGCTTGCGGTCCCGGTCCCACTGCCTCCTCCTGATCCTCCACCGTCGGCTCTTGCGGCGGTGGAGCTTGCCAGTGACAGACCGCAAGCAACACCGGCAGGGGCATTGACACTACAATTGCCAACCAAAAAAGACTCACCTTGCGTATTAGCAGCTCCCACACCATCACCAACAATGCAATCTACAGCAACCACAACTAATCCACCATCCAAGCCCATTATTGAAAGACCAAGACGATCAACAGCCAACTACAACAGAAACTACGCACTCAATGGGCAAGGGCGTAAGGAGGGACGTGAGAGCAGGGTGACGGCCGAGTCCCGTTCAATGGACCATGTCAGGCGGGATAACAGAGAGAGCGCAGAGGAAGCAGATGATGGGACGGACGGTGAAGGGAGCAATGAGTCGGAGAGCGACGATTGTAGTGATCGTGAGAGTGCCGGTGAGAATGTTAGCGTTGTGCGTAGGTTTCGTGGTAGCAAGTCTTCAGTGAACAATCATCTGTTGGCTAGTCCTGATTGTTGCAATTCGTATTCCGACTCTTCATTCACTGTATTGTGCCATGGTCGTCATGGTTATGAACTACAATTAAAGGTTTTGGAAGCCATCTGTCAGCGTCTGTATAAGCCTAATTTGTGTGTACAGAAAGATAGTATAATTGGGTTGAAATTGTTCAAGTAAAGTGTCATGTTTGGTGCGGCCAAGCTTGGCCGTTAATGTTCTAGGTGTAATGTACTGCTGTTATTTGTTATCACTTTGTCCTTCCTTCTTTCTTTCTCTTCTTTGTTCACTTTTCAGTTGCAAGTTTAGTGTTAGTACACGCATTCGTTATTGCTCTCGCTTTCTTTGAAGAAATCACCCATCTTTTCGCAGAATTTTCAAATTTCGCATGTTGAATCCGCCGAAAATCGATGTTTCAGTGCTTCAACAGAGTGTGTGTAAATGTACATGACGTAATGGGAACGGTGACTTCAAGTACTACGTTGAGCCGTATTCTGATCTTGGGGCTAATAATATGGCCGAATTTGAACATTCTCTTAACCGATCGAAAAGCCGATTTGGCAGGCTCTGTATGGGCATCTTGTCAATCAGTGCACATCTACGATGTGTGAATAAAACGAATGCAAGGAACGTGTTACTTGTTTTCTGCACATCTACGAAGTGCGAATCAGGGAGTAGTATAATGACACGTGTACTAGTACACCTTGTGTTGCACTGCGTCTTTTCCACAAGCATAGGACCACTGAAGGTCATACGCTCCGCGTGCGTATGCACGCATGCGCAATGTGTCATTCACTGCATGCAATGCACATCTACGATGTGCAAATCAGGAAATAGTACGTATTTTACTACTCCCCGGTGCGAATGCACCGAACGTGCGCAAGTGCACGTTCGTCACCTATGGCGAAAAGAATCTTAAAGGGGAAGTTAAGGCAAAAATTAAAATTTCACCAGTTGTAGTCTTCGGGGTGCTGAGTCGAATGGTCGTGGTCCGAAGAAGCTGAGACGCTCCCTTCCTACTTGAATCCCAATCGAACTCGCGCACTTCCACCGAACTGGGTGACTGCGCCCTACTAGATGGGGATTTGTATGCAAAATGTCACTAAAAGCGCCATTTCGTTCTTATAAAAGCACGGATGACCGCGATTGGCCCATATGTTGTAGTCTTTTGGACGCTGAGTCGACTGGTTTTGGTCCAAAAAGGCTGCGATGCGGCGTTCCTCCTTTATTCCCAATCGAACATGGTTGAAGAAGCGGTCACGTGCTCCTGTGTACACCAGTCACCTGGTCACCGTGCCTGCAGGGTACAACTTACTAGCCTGTTTGACCTTTTTTGGGTGCAGTCCTGTCACTCGAGTTGAACTCGAGTTGAACCTTGGTGTGAAAGTTGTCACCTGCTGGCGTGGTGACCAGGTGATTTGGGCACCCAGGACCACGTGACCGCTTCTTCAACCATGTTCGATTGGGAATAAAGGAGGAACGCTGCATCGCAGCCTTTTCGGACCAAAACCAGTCGACTCAGCGTCCAAAAGACTACAACATATGGGCCAATCGCGGTCATCCGTGCCTTTATAAGAACGAAATGGCGCTTTTAGTGACATTTTGCATACAAATCCCCATCTAGTAGGGCGCAGTCACCCAGTTTCGGTGGAAGTGCGCGAGTTCGATTGGGATTCAAGTAGGAAGGGAGCGTCTCAGCTTCTTCGGACCAAGACCATTCGACTCAGCACCCCGAAGACTACAACTGGTGAAATTTTATTTTTTGCCTTAACTTCCCCTTTAAGGATGACATTTATGGCATGCCAGGGCAGGGGTCAGACCAAGCACGACCGACACAGTGTGCCTTATTTGGCCCAAAGGTCGAAGGTCAAAAAGTGTACCAGAACCTGCCCCGCACTTACTACTCTTGAGGTTGGGAAACAAGCTCACGTACACTGGAGGGCTTCAACAGTGTTCCCCAGGTGTCCTGTCACGAACTGGAGGCATTGATTGAGGATGCATTCGAGGACTATGGAGATGATCGTAACTGAACTCCCGCAAACAAGACTTAGAGGAGTGTTAGAACAGTACCTGCAGACCGTGCATTTCAGAGAAGCTGTTGCCGGCCAGCATCACGGCTGTGTATAAATCCTTTCCAAGGATGCCTTGCAATTTCGGCGGAGTATCTTTCTGGTCGCCTTCTCCCACTGGTGAATACAGTAGTAAGCTGTAGTAAGCTCAACCTTCTCAAACCGGGACTCGTCCGACAAGAGGGAATCTTGCTTCCGCATAGAGTCTTGCCTGGAGTACAAGCCAAGGTCGGCCGTCCACGCCGTGAATTTCCCATAGCAGTGAGACTTCCTCCGAAATATGTCCTCGATGGCATCCCTCAAAAAATTGCGACCATAGGCATCGTGGCGGTTAGCTCTGGAGGGACGTGAAACTATCAGCTGGGGGACGCTGTACTAAACGAGAGAGCTTGGAAGGTCAGGGCCCTGCGCTATGCTTTGTTGCCTAGCTCATCGTGCATGTTGTTAGAACTGATGGAAATGCTTTTTCCTTTGATTAGCTACATTGTATTGCAAAAACGTTTCAATGAGATACTGAAGTAACGTCTTCTGCATAGCTATGAGACCGGCGCTGACTCTGCCGATCACGGGCGTTCTGGAGTCGACGGGATGTCTGTCCTGACGTTTCCTGGGACCGTCGCTGACTCTGCCAATCACAGGCGTTCTTCTTCTTCTTATTATTATTATACTGACGGCAACTAACATCCATTCTGATTGCATTTACTTGTCTCCCTACTTCATATTTCTTTGCAGAAAATCTCCCCATACAGCAGGAAGACGTTTACATAATAATGACTCCCTGCTATACATCTACATGACTGTATATACGTTATAATTATCATGCTATCGGCTTACATGCGATTCCCGGGCTGGTCGACAGGCGGCCCAGCCAGCCTGCTAGTGGGATCTCGGCCTCGCACACATATCCACACAAAATGTTACTGCACTGAATGCATTCCCCCGATACACTTCGCATATATACTCGTTCTCTTGATGGTGCCGTACTCTTGATGGTATGGGACAGGTACAGGATAGCGCCAGGCATGTCGATGGCACAAACAAACAAAAAAATTTTGGCCAGCTGTCTTTACTGGTACGGTACAGTACGGGACAGATACGGGATAGCGCCAGGCGTGACACAAACAAACAAACAAACAAACACACACACAAATACCAAATTAAAGCTGTGTGGACCCTGGCTAGCGCCAGACGTTACTGAAGTAACGTCTTCCGCATAGCTACAGGAATAAAAATTAATATGGATCCAGCTGCCCCAACAAACGGTAATATGGATCCAGCTGCCCCAACAAACGGTCCGAGCTTGTGTCAAAGTGTTGCCATGAGAACAAATATTACTTGTGAAATGTTGTCACATGATACTAGCAGAACATCACTCAGTTAATATTAAGGACGTTTAGCAATGCGAAAGTTCGAAAGAAATTTCGAGTCTGGGAATGAGTACAGAGAGACCAAGACCGAATTATTGCATCTGACATCAACTTCAGACTCCTGGCGGTCCAGCAGGCAACTAGGGTCCCTCATTGGCGACAGTGAGGACTTGGAGCGGAGGAAAGACCTCACTTCGAGTGCATACAGCAGGATGTATAGCCTCTGGCTGAGGCGTGGGAAGGTAGGTCAGTGAGCAGAGGCGCATCCGACTGTATAATGCCCTGGTTCTGCCCGTTCTTTTGTATAACTGCGGCGCATGGGGGCTCACAGTGGCACAAGCAGAATCACTTAACGCATTCCACCGGAAGCAGCTCCGATGGCTCATTGGCATAGTTTACCCAGCCAGGATATCAAATACTGAGCTGTATGAGAGGTGCAACACGGAACCACTATCTGACATCGTGGACAGGAGAAGATGGCAGCTAACCGGCCATATTCTCCGTATGGACAGGGATGCGCCGCCATGGATCGCGCTGACGGGCTATTTTGCAGAAGATGCCAAGGCTGGGCGTGGACGTCCGAGGACATCCAGTGCGACGCGCATCACAAGCGACTTACAGAGAAGGAACAGCAGTCTGCTTCGATTAGGGCTTCAACACGACGTGACATTGACTCAACGTATGGGGAAACAGTGTCAGGAGCCAACAAGTCCCACTCCAGGTGCAGTGCCTGCACCAGCTGGTCAGCATTCTCGCAGCGATGTGGAATTATTCTCTTCTTGTCAAATCTGGAGAAGAGCCCAACATTCTCGTTTGGATTCATGTCGTGTACAACCTGACCTCTCGTACCCGTATGACTCCCGTGTATGCGGAACCCAACCTGCTTCGTGTACACCAGCTCTTGCGTGAGACAGTGTGCTTGCTGGTCTACCGGTACCGGTGCCTACTTTCCACCATGGAGCAGCCGCTGATCAGCGCATTATTTGGAGATTTCGCCACTCCGACTAGGGCTGGCCAAACGCTCGACTCCCAACAACATCTGCTGCAGCTTCCATCCAGAACTCATCCCGTGTCTCTTTCTGCTGCACGCATTTGGAACAGTCTTCCACCTGATGCGAGAAACATCACGCCCCCCCCCCCCCCTCCAGTTCAAGGTTGTGTTGCACGCGTATTGTCTTACTGTAGCGTGACAGCAACCCCCTCCCCTGTCTTGAGTACTAGTATGTAGTAATCCTGATGCTCTGATACATACCGAGGCTAGCTGTATGCTCAGTCTCCGGC